AACAATATGATCATATGGGTGGATGATAATTATTGGTAATCTTCTCATGGGTTGACTAAAGAACATTATTAATGAATTTTATTATAAAGTTTAATTATTCGTATAATGTTTAAAGAAGAGAACGTGCATGTATTATGGGCATTAAATGAAATTATTAGAATAAAAAATGAGTTGGTGAATGGGTCAAACGGCTCTACAAGGGCACCATGGTGTATAGTTGACAAATTCATAACTTACCTCATACGTTTATTAGAAGATAACTCGATAGAAATTACTTGGAGCAATAAAAAGTACGAAGATACAAACATAGGAATGCCAGTGCAACTGGTAGTGTTTCAGTAGTGATGACAACAAATTTTGTGAGAGAAGTAATAGAAAAGAGTTGTTTGACGAAGGAATGGAGTTTTGAACGTGAGGAGGTAGATAAGCTAGTGGGATTTTGTTGGGTCCCACGAACTCATGTGCGTGTTGCACGAGTTAGGTTGGAACTCATGTACACGAGTTTCATAACATTACTCTCGTAGATTCTACTTCTATAACTATGTCACTTCAAGTTCATATTTACTGTACACGATTTACCTTAAATCACTATCATAAGACACGATTCAATTAATTACTTGTATACATGGGATACAATTTAGTCTGACTAGATTTAATAACCCTATTATTACTTTTGCAATTATCTTATATTTATTTTTTATTAATTGAAATTACATTATTTAAATAAATAAATAACAATAAAAAATCCCCAACAAGCGACACGACAGGGAAGGACTTTTGGGGTAGGAAACTCAACCATGGTTAATTGCGTGAGAAAACCGTAGTTAAATTCAAGTTGAAGTCAAGTTAAAGTGAGGTTAGAGAGGGAAGAATTGAAATTTGAAGCGAGGAGGAAGAAGCCGCGTTTATGGAGAAGTAAGGTGCGCGTGGGACAAGGTCTTGGACTGCGGCGCCTGATTCTGGAGACGAGGCCGTGGGTTCTACTCTTGTGAACTTCCCCACGCGCATTTCCAACTCGTTGGAGCTCAATGTGAGATGGTTTGAGAGCACGCGCTGAGAATCGCGTGGGAAAATTAGGAAGGGGAGGGAAGCAGTGAATTGACCAAATTGGGGCTGAGAGAGAGGGAATCCGGAATGGATGTTGGAGCGTGTTGGGCGGGGCATGAATTGGAAAATTCAGTCACGTGCCCGACACTCTCCCGTATCAGAATTCATGAAGCCGCTTTCTTTCTCCTCCATCATCTATTTCTATTTTTATTTTATTCTTTAAAATACATTATATTTTAATTCTTCTATTTTTCTTTAATTTAATTTTATTTTATACTTCATTCCATTTTAATTTTTGTATATTTTTTTTATAAATGCTCGTTTTGTATAAGTTTTGGGTTCAGAAAAGCAACTATAATTTTGGATAATTACAATAAATACTTAAAATTATTTATAAAAAAAAATAAGTATAATTTAACCGGTTAAAACAGGATCAAATAAATATATATATATATATATATATCAATAATTTAAAAAAAAAAACTGAGCGAACATGATCATATATATATATCAAGAATTTTTATAAAAAAAAATTGAGCATAATTTAATCCGTTAAAACATGATCAAATATATATATATATTCACAATTAACATCTACTTAAATAAGATATTATTATTATTATTATATAAACCTCATGAATAATTGTTAATTAGAAATGTGATTAGAGAGAAAGAAAATGAGCTGTATTTGTGTTAGTTTGAAGGTACGAAGTAAGCATGTGCGTAGAGTTCCAAGACCCAACTCATCAATTTTTTATTTTTTATTTTTCTATATATATATCTCTATCCCATTGACTTAATATATATACTAATTAATCTCCTATCACTAATTAAAAACACATAATCAAAACCATTTTTAAGACTTATTTGCCCCCATCACTTTTTTATATTACTAAATCAAACTTATATATATATATATATATATTCCTAAGCATTGAGGCTTGGATCCTAAGCCCACACTAAGAAAAAATCTGAGCCCAATAATCAGATGTGCAATTTTGGAGATAAAAAAAAAGTTGCAAGTTTTTAACCTTATACTCTTTCTTTTTTTTTCACCCTTAATCCACAGTAAAGAATTATTTACTGGTGCATTTTGAGTTTAGCATATCAAATCATGGAGTCCAAATACCTGTTGTGACGTCTTCTGTTGAACTCTAATAAGCTACCGTAAGTTCTATCAGACACACCAACGAAAAGAGATTCACTGTCTGGGCTGAATGATATGCCCGCTATCTCTCCAAACATATCAATTTCTTGTCCTTCAACCCAACTTGATTCGGTATCGAAGATATGCACGAAGTCTGCTGGTTCAGCCATGGCCATGAATCTTCCATCTGAGCTGAATTTCACAGCTCTTATAGCTCCCATCCTACCCTTTACAACGGCCATGGACTCTGACATTTTCCTCACATCCCACAGCCTACAGCTTGTATCTTGGTTTCCTGTTGCCAGAATATGCCCATTTGGATGCCATGCCGAGGTGAAAGAATAGTCTAGGTGCCCTCTGAGGCTCCCAATTGTCTGTGCTCAAAACCAACCTACCATTTAGCATTCGACTATTTTTTCCTACATTGAAGTACATCCACTGCAAAAGAAAGAAAGTACTCACTCGGCCCGAGTTTGCGTCGGTGATCAAGCAATCTGGATTGTCCCCAAGAACAGCAAGCAGCTTCCCATCTGGACTGACGGATGTGTTCTGTAAGAGAATGGTGTAAGGCCACATTGTTGAATTATGAAACTGTAACAATGAAAACCTGACTGGGTGGCACTCACATTTACAGACCAGTCGAACGAGAAGCAGCCGAGGGAAGCGAAATTCTCGGCATCGAAAATCCTGACTTTAGCATCATTGTTTGCTGTCATGATCCTTATTTTACCACTGCATTAAAACAATGGTTGGTTATTCGTCTTCTTTTTGTATGCTACCGCAAATATAGTAATGATGCTTACACTGAATCTTGATAGATATCAACTGCATTGGTGATGGCATTCTCACTTGCTGTAATTTTTGTGCAGAATGCAACCTGGGGATGATTTAGGTACTGAACGAAGGCACAAGAAAGACAAAAACGAGGTGTTTAGAACCACACAAGGAAAATGTAATGGAAGTTATCAAGTGTGCTTGACTTGCACACCTTGCAAATAAGTTCCCCTTGGAAACCACCAGCAACAATTAGATTCTCTTTCACAGCCATGGTGCTTATCTGAACTCTGGAAAGTGACTGAGACCTCAGTCCAGGGAGTTTCTGCATACACAGTTGAAACTATAATCAAAACGGTTCCCAATGTTTCCGCTATATGAATGACGAGTTCATTTCCATCCATTGTTATTGCAACAAGAACTTTAGTTCTTAAGAGTTCATTTGGAATGGTTCCTAATGCTTCCAATGAGAAAGTGGATCCTCGTTGTTCAAGTTCCAAAATCAGTACTTGAGAACAACTCAGTTACTTTCTATCAATGGATAGAATTGAATTACATCTCATGATATTGTGTTCCCAACTCCCTATTTGGTTAAATCTTAAGTCCCAAAATGATAGGCATATTGAATTGGCTAAAAGAGTCCTTCTCACCCATGAAATTAAAAGACAAGCTCTAGCAAGCAGGAATTCATAACTCACTCAAGATTAAGATCGAGTCGCATATGATCACCATGTAAAATATTAATCTTTTCAATTAACAGATTTATAAAGAGATATTAAATACTTATTGGTCTAGTCTTATACAAATTCATTATATAAAATACTCTCACTTGCATGTCTCCACACTAACGATTTGGAACAAATAATTTGTAAGGATTACAAAGTAGGTCGTATCAATAGTGTAACTAGGATAAAGCACCCAACTTTATCCATATACCATAAATTCTTTAAATTATTACTTGAACACGATCCTCTTGTATATCGACCACATACTGTTCACGATTACATTAACCTTAAATTTTCATACCATAGATAATATAAAATTGTAAATAAAATAATTAATTACGATTATGAGGTTTTAGAGCATAAATTGCATTTATAGATCAGTTAGACCACATACCAAGGTGGGAACAACTGGTTTGGATACATTTAGTACCTCTTTGCTCCTTCGAAGCAATGAAGACCAGTGCAATACTGAATAGTTCTGCATTAGATATACATCATGCTTTGAAGTTGCCCATAACAGATTTCTGAGCTGCACAGATTAACAAATGGTACCAACGAGATATCACTGACTGCACTAGGATGTTTAAAACAAATTCAAAGAAGATCCAGGAACAGCGCAGTTCCAAATATTAAAATGGCCATGAACACGAACAAGTATGATAACAAGAACAAAAACAAATGCTATGAACAAGAATCTCAACCTGGAAATGCACAATTGTTGATTTGACAAGCCTCGTATTGAACTGAAAGTCATAGAAAGAATTCCCCATCTCTACTTGCAAGCATTCCTGTTAAGCAAGAAAAGCACAATATTCGCGAGTTATCTCCAAAGTTTATTCTTCAATCATGCGAAGAAGTGAGGAACAGTAACTCCATAATTTATATTTATTTGAAAAGCAGGAAAGTAAATTAGGGATTCCAAGAGAATCTGAAATTCTATTTACTTGAATCAAACGCAACTAGCTAAACAAAATTGAATTGACGGCTCCCATGAGAAGACCGAGCGACTGACCTTTTCGAGGTCTTGGCGAGGGCGTGAGAGGCTCTCGTAGTTTCTGTACTGTTTCAAACGTGTCTCGCGACACTTTTCCCTTGTAAAATGAAGCCTCTCCCAAGGTATGCCCTGTATATCTTTACCATTTCTAGCTTCCAACGCAGACGTATCAGTTCTTGATTTGCTCTGTTAAAGTCGCACGTCATTTTCAGTCATTGTTCCCACTTAACAAAACCTAATATAAAAAGGCAAGGATACTATACCATCTCAAAATCGTCCTGGAAATCAGAGTCCAGAGATTCCACGTCGCTACTACTCTGCGTTTCGCCGTTATCAAAATCAGCCACGTCGTAGTAGTCATCGACGAGGTAATCGAGGAAATCATTTCCGAAATTTTCCATCGATCTGCAAAACGAGAGTCCACTTCCGTCAGCGAACTAACAGAATCTGAATTGCCACTGAGCCGACGCCGGGAGCGAATAGCTAGAAATAAGTTTCCAAAAACTGATAACAAATATATGTTTAAAGCAACTATCTCAGACACATTACAACTGAAAAATGCTTTCGACGAACCTTTCACCAATGATCGAAAGCGACATTCATCGCAGAAGCGAAGAGCAGACTCGAACAAACAGTACATTAAAACAGAGGAAAAGAGAGAAACAATACCTAGGAATGTTGAGAAACCGGGTAGAGAATTCCAGGAAGTGTAAATAGCGGCGGCGAAAACGAAATTGAGAGGAGATCACTCAAGAACTTCCGGGGAAGAAAAATCCGACAGAAAATGCGTCGTGGTAGTAAGAAGAAGAAGAATCAGAGACAAGAAAGAATTTCGAAGTTGAGAAGAAATTAATCGGAGAAACAGAGGAAAACAAAGGAAGAAGAAGAAACAGAGAAACGTCTAGAGAACTTTGGTTGAAAAGAGCGAGGGAACGCCGAGACTGAAGGCTGTATATATATATATATATATATATATAGTGAATAAAAGCAGAGGCGTAACAAATCGGATTCCGGGTCGGGTCGGGTCAAAGTGAAATAACTAATAAGCCCATGCCAAAAATGATGACGCGTCAAATATTAGGTGAACAGAATGGTGTTTAGGAAAGGAAAGTTAAGGGGCCTGTTCGTAAATTTGCCTTTTGAATTATTTTTAAATATATTTGGCTTTTTGTTAAAATTGACCGTGGAATTTTCATTACGCTTATAATCAAAATAGAATTCAAATCATAAATATTAAAATGGAGTATTATCTATATATTTATTTGTTTTGCTATTTATTATATATATATATATATATATATTAAAAAAAAATAAATTAAATTAATGTTTTTAAAAAATATATATGAAATAAAGAAGAAATTACGAAGTATTTATGAGAAGCATGATTGGTGGTGAAAATGGAGGGAATTTGACCGGCAACTCTAACGGCCAACCGCTAAATCGAACTGAGAGAGACACGTGTCAGTAAGTTTTATTATTTTATTATTATTAATTGGACGACATTATCCAGGTCCACTAAAAAACATGTCACATTTCCCAACCTTAAAATATCTACAAAATTAAAAAATGTAGTGTGAACGAGTGTGAACAAACGAAATTTAGTATTTTTAATTATAATCTTTTTTAAAAAAATATTCGAGATTTATTAAGATTAAAATATAATTTATAAAGTAACCAAGATAGTGGAGGATAAAAAGATTATATTATTCCAATAATACTAAAAAGGTTTCCGCGTTTAATAGCTTGCTTACATGGCATCTTGTCATCAATCCACGTGGCTAAGCTTGCTACTTCCACTTCACTACCCGATCATATCTTGTATATTAAATACAATCGTGCCAATTAAACCATATCGATGTGGACAAAATTATATATCGATATAAACAATCGTATCAACTAAAACATCTCAGTTAAAATGAGTAATAATCGACTGTTATTGTATTTTATTAATATATTTTAACCCTTTTTATTTTCTTTAAAATTATATTATATAATATTTCTATCGACAGGATTTGGGATTTGGTCAAATCCTTGGTTTTGTTGTTGACTCAAATTTTGTCTTTAATTACTCACCTTGATAAATACTATTTATTCTTTTATGTTTTTTTTAAAACATGAATAATAATTGACATGGACTTATTTTATTCCATAATATGTACACGCGCTTACATTATTTTTTAAGTGCATTCACATATGTAACAAAAATAAAATAAAATATACATTATATACACAATATATATATATTTTCAGTATTTAGTCGTTGGGAGGAATCTTGTTTTATTTATTTATTTGACTGGAATTATGTATTCAACCAATCCACGTGCAGTTTAATTAATATAATTTAATTTTTCAAATGTGATATATTTACATAATATTGAAAGATATTTTTAAAAAATAGTTTAAATCCCATTTTGCTCGCTCTAATTTTAAACTATATTTATTTTAATTATTATATTATATACAAGTATAATGTTAATCTTGTATCGTTATGTTCTTTTTGTGTCATTTTCCAATATCGTCATGTCTCTAACTAAAATTTTCATGATATATAGTATTTATATATCTGTATGTTATATAGAGAGACCAACTACCTAGGAGTATAAATATTAAAATAAAATAAGTCCCAAAAATTTAATTTAAATTACTATATATAAAGTAAAATTAATTTAATTATTTATAAATTAAAAAAAATTACTTTTTTTTACTTTATAATGGGCAGAAGAAAATATGTTGGTGAGGGAGAATAAAATAAAGAAAATAAAGTAAAAGTTCACACAAAAAAATACAAAATAAGAATAAAGAAAAAGGTAGGTATCATATATGGAAATAACTTTAGGAATATAATTTAATATTCTTTATAATAAAACATAACTATATGATAAAACCTTTTACATTTTATTTCGAATATTCCAATTCTATTTCCTAAAGTATTTATGTCATCATTCTCTCATTTTCCACTTCATTTATTCCTTTTTTGTCCTTTTTATATACCCTTCATTAACAAAATCAAATTATTAAAAAAATTATTTTAAGAATGTTTTAGGATATAATAAAAAAAAAAATAAATTCATATATCTTAATTAATAAATTGCAAAATTAATATTGATAGGATCTGATCTACTCGAGAAATAATAATGACTGCGAATCTAATCCAAATTCACTCCCGAGAAAGAGACACTTAAAATTAAATAATTAAATTTTAAACGGGTCGTTGCTTATATTTTGAATATCTTGGTAGGGACTTAAAAGACTATTAAAACGTTGAATTATATAATATTGTATAGAATGTTATATATATATATTTATAATGTTAGGTGAACAATATAGTTTAGCAGCACCTAACTATTAATTGTCGGTTCGAGAAAATTATAGTTTATTATTTTCTAAAGCCCATTAGTTATGGGCCTATGGCCCATATAGGCCCATAACTTCTGTTCTAACCTTTTGGGCTAAATTAGATTAGGGCCCATTATTTGGCTTTCTCAATGCGTTTAAATCCAATCCAACCCGGATAAATTTGTTGTTTTTTAACCGGTTTTAAAACGCGTATATTAGGGAGAGATTTCTACACTCTTATAAATAACGTGAGATCTAACAACTAACCATTTGACAGAACTGACATTATGAATCCTTGGGCATTATTGTACGAGATTCAAAGGACATGTTTAAAATAGGGTGACTATTAATTATAACGTTAGCCACAATGGTAGTTGTTTTGGTCAAAGTAAAATTACCATCGTCTAGATTCAAGCAATTCAGTTCAGGTGACAACAAAAGACGAAACTTAGAATAGTCAACTTAGAATAGTTCAAATTATACCTGTGTTTATAGTTTATTAAATTTATGTTCAAATACCATTATTAACAATGTTTTAAAATAAAAATTATAATGTTTTTTAAGAAATTTTAAGGTTAAGTGAGGTAAATTTTGAAAAAACAAATAGAATGGTAAAAATTTATAAAGGCGGTAAAAATTGAAAATAAGGGATAGGATGAAGCATGACATAAATAAAAATTGACCAAAGAATCTCATCATCTCCATTTAATTACTCATATAACTAAGGCATGCATCCTGTTGGAATCTCCAAAACAACCCTTTCCACTTTTAATAATAATAATAGTAATAATAAAATATATATATTTTGTAGGTAGTAACTTTGATCCTGGGAGAGAAGAACAAAACACCTTTTATAAGTGTGTGAAAACCTTTCCCTAACAGATACATTCTAAAGTCTTGAGGGGAAACCAGAAAAGAAAAGTCCAAAGAGGACAATATCTGTTAGTAGTGGGTTTGAGTCGTTACAAATAGTATCAGACACTGGATGATGTGCCAGCGAGGAGGCTGTTTCCCGAAGGGGGTAGACACGAGACGGTGTGCCAGTAAGGAGGTTGTTCCCCGAAGGGGGTAGACACGAGACGGTGTGTCAGTAAGGAGGTTGTTCCCCGAAGGGGGTAGACGCAAGGCAGTGTGCTAGTAAGGAGGTTGGACCCTGAAGGGGGTAGACACGAGACGGTGTGCTAGTAAGGAGGTTGTTCTCCGAAGGGGGTAGACATGAGGCGGTATGTCAGAGAGGACGTTGGACTCCGAAGGGGGGTGGATTTGGTGGGGGTCCCACAGGCTGGACCCCGAAGGGGTAGACACGAGGCGGTGTGCCAGAGAGGACGTTGGGCTCCCAAGGGGGGTGGTGGTTGGAGAGGATAACGAAACACCCTTTACAAGAGTGTGAAAACCTTTTCCTAACAGACGCATTTTAAAGCTTCAAGGGGCCGAAAGAGAAAACACAAAGAGGACAATATCTACTACGGTGGGCTTGGGTCGTTACATTTAAACCTTTTTTTTTCTTCATTTTATTCTTACGATCGTTTCGTTCGAATGCGATATCGGTTCATTCATGTACCCTTCCTTTACTCAGGTGTCACAGTGACACTACAATAACTCAAATTGACAATGTTCGAGAAAAAAATACAAATTAATGTATTTAATCCTAACCCATCAATTATCAATTTTTTTACCATGTTCAAAATAGCATGCTAATATATCTAAATATATTAATATAACAATAATTTATTTACATCTTACCTTGAATAGGTTATTTACAAATTTAATTAAAGGTAAATTTGAGAGAATTACCTAAAAAATTAGAAATTAAACTCTCCAATTTACGAAATTATCCTCGATGCTCAACAAACTTAGGGGTTGGAAATAATTAATATATATTAATTTTTAATTGCTGGCTTAATTGATTAAACAAGAGGTTGGATGTCATTTAATGTTTTTATTTTATTTTTTATTTTTTTATTTTATTTTTGGATGCTAGT